ACTGCAAACGAAAAAAATAGAGCACTCAGCATTTTTTTGTGTTCGCAGTGGAACGGAACGCAGGCAATATTTTGCCATGTGTCTGATCGCACAAAGGGAGTGGCTGCGGTGTCATTAACTTCAATGCACTGCCATGCCCCCTCCCGCCCCAGAATGAAGGGGGCAGTTTAGTGTGCATTTACAGTGCTTTCCAGCAGCTACCGCTCTGGAACGCACCGCAATTGGTGGGAACAAGCCTTGATGCTTTTTATATATTGCATGGATGTTCTATATTAATTGGAATAATATTGGTCACATTTAATTCACTTTAAGTTCACGGAGGTTTTCATAAATTTTACTGATTAGAGCAACACATTTATGACAAAAATGTTTTATTTATTCATTTTTAGTATTGTTTTGCATATTATTATCACTATTGGGATTGTTTTGGTGCTTATAGAAGGCACGTCTTTTATATTTACTTTTTCACTTGAATTATTTGAACATGAATTAATTGAACATTGAATTAATGCACATTATAATAGACGCACATGAACTTTAATGGCATCCCAGTCTTAGTCTGTAGTGTTCAATATTGAGTTGGCCCACCCTTTGCAGCTATAACAGCTTCCACTCTTCTGGGAAGGCGTCCACAAGGTTTAGAAGTGTGTCTATGGGAATGTTTGACCATTCTTCCACAAGCTCATTTGTGAGGTCAGGTACTGATGTTGGATGAGAAGGCCTGGCTCGCAGTCTCTGCTCTAATTCATCCCAAAGGTGTTCTATTGGGTTGAGGTCAGAACTCTGTGCAGGCCAGTCAAGTTCCTCCACCCCAAACTCGCTCATCCATGTCTTTATGGACCTTGCTTTGTGCACTGGTGCGCAGTCATGTTGGAAAAGGAAGGGGCCCTCCCCAAACTGTTCCCACAAAGTTGGGAGCATTAAATTGTCCAAAATGTCTTGGTATGCTGATGCCTTAAGAGTTCCCTTCACTGGAACAAAGGGGCCAAGCCCAACCCCTGAAAAACAACCCCCCACTATAATCCCCCCTCCACCAAACTTTACACTTGGCACAATGCAGTCAGGAAAGTACCGTTCCCAGACACGTCCATCGGATTGCCAGACAGAGAAGCGTGATTCATCACTCCAGAGAACACATCTCCACTTCTCTAGAGTCCAGTTGCAGCGTGCTTTACACCACTGCATCTGACGCTTTGCATTGCACTTGGTGATGTAAGGCTTGGGTACAGCTGCTCAGTCATGGAAACCCATTCCACGAAGCTCTCTATGCACTGTTGTGCCAAACTGAAGGGCACACGAAGTTTGGAGGTCTGTAGCTATTAACTCTGCAGATAGTTGGCGACTTCTGCGCACTGTGCGCTGACCCCGCTTTGTCATTTTACGTGGCCTACCACTTCATGGCTGAGTTGCTGTTGTTCCCAGTTGCTTCCGCTTTGTTATAATACCACAAACAGCTGACCGTAGAATATTTAGTAGCAAGGTAATGTCATGGAACACCTGAATTCAATGATTTGGAGGTGTGTCCCAATACTTTTGGCAATAAAGTGTATATACATATTACATAGTGCTGCGAACATTGGAGTGAGAGCAATAATTCTAGGGCCAGCACTTACTATTAACTCTAAATTGATGAAAGGTAAAGGCTTCCAAATCGTTGCCTATGGGCATTTTTTTTTTTTTTCACAAGTAAATTTTTCTTTAGGTGATCAGAAATATCAAACATTGATGGTACAAGCAAGTATACATCAATAAAGTATCTAACATGAAGTAAATTCTGTATAAGAAGAGGAAGGGGGGGGGGAGGGGGAAGGTCTAGGGGATAAGCCCCTGTGAGTCCGGGGAAAGAGTAGACTGAGCTCTTTGCCTTGACGGCCGGTCATCACATCCATTCTTGGGAAGCGGGGGTGGGGCACCCCATATTGGTATGCCCGAACGTTGCTAAAAAGTGGCGTAGTCATCTCCAAGAATGAGTGGGCTCTATGCTACAGGGGACCTTGGCTAAGGACTGGTCCGGATTTCTAACTGTATTTCCAATGCTTTGCACTGCTATCGGAGTGTATGGTATAAAAGAGGTCCAATCTGGTGATGGACTCAACAGGGTGATCCATTTTGGCATTAGTGGGGAAATGGACTAGAAGGGGGTTCAAAGAGGATGGGGGTAAGGAGAGGAGAGGAGGGGACCTGGAGGGCTAGGCTGTAATGGAGAAGAGAAGGGGGAAGAAACGAGAGACAGACCTTCCTACATCCAATCCCGCCCGCCCCCTATACATCCCGAGACATAAAAAATGTGTGTTAGAGGTAGGTAGAGGTTTTAGGGGGTAGTAAGAATGGATAGGGCAAGGGGATAGATCCTCTGGGTTGAAAGAGTCGGGTTTTTACTGAATGAGGGTAACATAAGAGTCCGTGCCCTTGAACAGATGCCAGGCTGTCCAAGTTTTCAGGTATTGAGGTGTGGTGTCTCTATCGTAAGCAATTAGTTCCTCCATGTTTGCCACTGTGTCAACCCGTGCTAGCCATTCCCTGATTGTCGGTGGATGTGTCGATTTCCAGTGTCTGGGGATCACGGTTTTGGCTGCATTCAGTTTTGGGTATTTTACAGGTGAGCAACATGTTAACTCAACATGTTTGCTATCTATTCACCTGACACAACCCTATCTTTTAAATTTTATGAAAAAAAGGGTATTATATTCTGTTTGTGCACACTATAATTTATTATAGTGCATGTTTTCCTAAAAATATTGATTTATAAACAGTTTTCAAACCAAAAAGTCAGATTGTAACGTGTGTGCAAAGATTCAAAAAATTGCTTTGGACTCAAAGTGGTTAAATACTTTATGGTGTACACAACATTATTTATAACAACAATATACACTGAACATGTGAAACACAATTGGGAAGAAATATATATTTTTACATTGCACATGGCAAGAAGAGAAGAACCGCTATTTCGTCTAGTACTTGCGGTCATGTGATAGAAAGAGGCGGAGACAACGCGGGACTTGCAATGTGGAAGTTTAGATAACAAAAAACGAGTCTTGAAACCCTGGACTACAAAGAACAACGAGGCCTGGGACAATAAAGCATAAACGAGGTTGAGGCTTGGAACGCTAAAATACAAACGAGAACGAGGCTTGGAATGCTGCAGTTGAGGCGGGAACGAGGCTTGGAGCACAGAAACAGGAAGGAGTTGTGAGAGAGCCAAGAGAGACTGAAGAGTTGTAGAAGAACGAGTCAGCTGAATGAATTACAAATCTCAGGAGGGAGAAGTAAGAGCTGAGAATCCAATGACAATTATTGTTTTATAAGAGAACGGGGAATGTAAACAGGAGACACAGCACTCATATATAAATACAGACTAGTGAAACATGTGACACACTTGGTAGGTGGTATGGGGGACTGTTAATAAGAGTTGAACAGCAGTTGTCAGTCTTTGGGGGACATTTATCAAGTCAATAAGCGACACAGCCAGGCTGCTGCTAACATAACAAAGTCTCTGTGACTCGTATAAGCCTCATTCTCACTGGCAAACCTGCGTTTATATGCACTTAGAATTTGTAAATGCATATAATGATATTTAATGGTATCATTCAAACTGGGCCCTTACCTGTGTTTAGGTGTGTTAAGTTTAGCTGCGTTTAGAGAAAATAAAACTCTTCGAGAAGGATTTATCAAAATTAGAGAAGCAGAATCTGGAGCAGTTGCCCATGGCGACCAATCAGCTTCTAGCTCTCATTTTCAAAGCTTAACTGAAGAGAGAAGCTTATTGGTTACTATGATCAGCTGCTCCAGATGTTGTCTGCTCCAGTTTTGATAAATCCCCCTTTTTGTGGCCAGATTCTGATTGCAAACACACGTGTTAACATTCTGCACACTCCATTTAGGTCCCTGCGCAACCTGCGGTGGCATCCACGATGCAGTGCAGCACATTTGCGCTCTATCCCAGTGCACAGCCCACTACGTTGTGGTGTGAATGAGACACATAGAAAATAAAACAAGCACTGTGTAAATTGTCAGTGCTATATAAATTACTGTAATACATAGTTTAAGCGTGTTGCTTATGTTAGGGATAAAAACAGGGAACATCTGATCATCAACATGTGTACAGTGTGTGAGAATTACAGCTGGAGGTCAGATACTGATAATTAGCTGAGACACATGCCAGAGGGTTCTAGGCCACATGAGTTCCCTGATCCTAAATGCCATGTCTTCTGGAGAATACTTGCCTTGTGATCTTTTTTTCCCCAGACACAGTACATCGCATGATGAAGATTTTAGTGTATTTTTGAAATGTCTCAATAACTACTTTAAAGGGTTAATAAACTCTCCAGCGCTTTTTTTTTTGCATATATCTACTGCTAGCAACCAGTAGATATATACAAAAACGTTAAAAAAAGAAACCCTTTCAAACAGGTTTAAACGTACCTCTTTCTTCGCCGCACGCTCCCGTCTGAACAGCTGAAGAGTCTCGGGTGGCAATGGATCTTGGGGCGGGCGCATGTGCACTTCAGATGTTCGGCCTGCAGGCGAGGAGAGACACAAGGTAAGTGTATGGAGCAGCGTGCACCCGCACAGACACCGTGGGACATAAGAGAAAAGGAGGACAGAGGAGTCAGTGCTGGATCGGAGGGAAAGCTGAAAACTACACTAAAGAAGAAGATGATTTAAGGTAAGTCCTTACACTAACATTGGGGGGAGGGGAAAAAAATTAGCCTTTAATGTCACTTTAAAAGAGAACTATGGGGTAAGTGTTTTTCTCGATAGTTGTCTTAAGGGTCACAGGAGGACATAAACTAGCGTCCTCCCATGACCCAGAGCTCAGTATACCGCGAGCTGCAGCTCGCGGTATACTGAGACCGCTGCAGCCGGGACGGATCCCGACATTACTGTCGATCCACACAGCTGCGTGAGTGACAGCTGGCTCTGCCTATCTAGAGGCAGAGCCAGCTGTACCTGCCCCCTCCCCGTCTGTTTCGCCAGTCAGCACTGAAGGATCGGAGAGGGGGGAATCCCTGCAGAATCCCCCGCTCACTTCCCGATCTATTGAGCCGATGTGTGGCAGTTTAATTGTCACACGTCGGCTCGAACTATGAGGTTGAGTGAAAATCACTCACCTCATAGTTCTCCTTTAAATGTATAATGCCCCAATAGGAATAACATCCCTTCACACTTATCAATTTTTCAAATACAATTTCAGAACTACAACACAGACATTGCCCCTTGTTTAATGAAAATGTTTCAGTAATGCATAGCCTCTAATTTAAAGGACCAAAACTTTTTCTCAATGTGCTATAATACCCAAATACCAACCCTTCTTATTGAGCTCCCAAAACTCTCTAATGGCCCATTACAATGGGCGGTCAATGGGAAGATGCTTCCTGCTCCTGACATTGCTGGAAAGTGTCTGTACTTGCCTATTAAAATGCCTTAAGATTCAGAGCTCTATAGAGAAGAAATGTAAAGCTATTTGGAGACTACATGTATGTCCTGCAGCCATTTTCCATTAGTAGAAAATTCAATTTAAAGCTGAACTCCAGGCAGATATAAAAATATGGTTCATTTAGAATGGCCCCCAAAGCATCTAGAGAACGCAGCTGCACTACAATGATATTCTTACATTGGTGCCCATATAAAATGAATGGAGTGCAATAAGGCAGTGGGTCTATAATATACAATTAAACCGCTTTCAACTCCTTTGTTATCCTAATGCAAGGGCAGGCAACCTTGGCCCTGCAGCTTTGGTGAAACTACAATTTGGTGAAACTACAAAATCCGACATGCCTTTGCCTTTGGGACTCATGTCTGTGGCTGTCAGAGTGTTTTATTGCCCCGTGGGACCTGTAGTTCCACAACAACTAGAGTGCCCAGGTTGCCTGCTTCTGCCCTAATGCAAGTCGATGTGAATCGGCCCTTACTGCAGTAGACAAAAAAAAAGAAATCGGGTGTCCTGCTTTGCCAGACAGCGCTGTGTGGCAGAGCTGTGTAAATCTCAGAACTGGATGAACAGAAATATAACTGATTTGGCAGGTAAACTAACTCCCAGATATGTATTTCATCTGTGTACTTAGCTGTTTGCCCAGAATTCAGCTTTACGTAATAGAGTAAATAAACTAATATCACATGAGAAATGTATAAAGCCCTATAATTGCGTCTTTTTGATGAAACTAGTGAGCCTGATGTATCTGCATTTCCTTGGTATATATGGAATTTTGTAATGCAATATGCACTGATTGCTTGTTTGTGTTACAGAGATGAAGTTAACTAAGGCACAGTATGATGAGATTGCTCGTTTCATCAGCAATTTGAAGCCTACACGGCAATGTATGAAGAAGTTGAAGGAGAGGTTTCCTCGGTGAGTAAGGTTTTTCATTTGTTCATTCTTCTTTTATCTTGAATACATTGCTTGTTATATTGTGCAATATAGTTCCAGCATTGAATCAGTCCAGACGATTTTTACATGCAGAGTTTTGACTGTGCGTGGCATCAGACAATCATATGGTTATTCTTAAAGCGAACCTGCTAAACTTTTAAAAGTGACATTTCTACCTAAGGGCAGACACCACCTAATGCATGCTTTTGTTAGTCAGAAAGCTCTTCCCTGTGCCCCGTTCTGAAACTGGTTTAACTTTGTTGCTAGTGACTTAACTTCCCAGAAGGGATGTCTCGATACCGAGATTGGTATCCTTGCCGATATTGGGCATTTCCACGTGTACTTGTAGTCGTGAAAATGCCCCGATACTAAAAACCGATACTGGAAGTGATTTGGCTGCCTAGCTCCAGCCCTCACTGCGGCCTGAGATGGTAATGGCGTCTGGAACGGGGTTGGGATTCCTCCTCTAATTATAAGGATACGGAGGGAAAGCGATCTCAACTTTGGGCTCCAGCGTGATGGGTGATCTAACTGATGGAGTGATCCTTCCTGCGCTGCACCACACCGGGCGACATCTGCTGCACCGATCTGCAGATTTCTAGAAACACTTCATCTGTATCGGATATGGTGGAGGAGAGCTGCTCATTCAACAGGATCGTCCACTGATGTTATAATGCCAGTAGGAAGATGAAAAGAAAATGAAAGTGATGTGAGAGCCCATAAAACAGAGAGGTAATACAGGGCTTTATATCGGGGAACGGAGCTCAGAAAAGTCTTGCAAGTAGATCAAAGTAACTGATTCTGTGCCAGGCTACAGTACAGCAGGGCAGACTCAGAGGAGAAATCCTGCTATGGGGCTCTGATGGGATGTGTCCGTGTCTGTGTGGAGGTGAGATGTGTCTGTGTGGTGTAAGCAAAGATGACAAAACTTCAGAAAAGTTTATGGGGAGGGTCAAGGTTCTGGCTTGGGTTGTAGTTGTCAGCTTTTCAAATGGAGCCCGCACAACCTCCTGAGACCCTGCACAACTCACCTGAGACCCGCAAGGGTTGCTCGTATTTGTAGTCATCTATAGCTGGTGGTATTCTGCGTTGCTGCATAATGTATTGCTACGATTTGTAGTCCCTCTGATCGCATTGCGGCCGGAGGGCGTGGCTACGGTGCCATTCACTTCAATGGCCCGCCACGCCCCCTCCTGCGTGGCAAAAAAGTGAGCCGGCCGCAATGCGAGGCAGTGCGTTCCGGCCAGAATCGGACCGGAACGCACTGCTTATGGTGTGAACTAACCCTAAGCTAACATCTATGGGTGTCGCCCGCTTCACCTGTTGCTTTATATACCTTGCTTCTTCCTGCCCAGCCTCCTATCTCTCCCAAAATTTAAATCCAGCTCGGACCTAACTGCCTTGCTTGAGCAAAACTCTTGTTTTCCCTGAGCTCCCATTTGTGCCTTTTGTTTCTGACCTGATTTTCCGTGGACTGACTTGGCTTTGTTCTCCTGATTACGTCTGTCTGCTGCCAGCTCTGACCTTTTGGCTCTTTTTTAAGGATTTCTGTTTTCTCTACTGCCATCTTGCCTTACCTGCGCTAACTTGAATGCAGCTATTTTCTCTCTCTAGTGTGTACGGGTATAATCCGCAGGCGAGCGGGGTGAACCCGGGGCATTCAGCTAAGCCCAAACTTCTGTGAGGGGTTTGTGGTGGAACATCAGCTGACCCTGCAACCGTGCAACCTGCTTGTTTGTTGGCTCACATACTGACAAGGTTTGAGACAAGGTACAGTATATTAACGTACTGGGCATATCAAGGAGTTACATGTATAGGTCAGCCGGAACATCATTTAACAGTAGCAGAATGCACAAGCTCTGTACCCTATTACATATCCAGTTAGAGGGTTAAGGGGTGTAGTCCAGACCCGAGTGGTAATAAGTCATTATCACAGACCAAATAGTGGAGAGTGTCATAATTTCTTCACTGCGCAACTGTGTCACACCACCGCAGTCATTTTATAAATAAAATACAGTTCACCAGTGCTAAACATTATATTCACAAGATTCCTAGGACAGAATAAAATGATTTTCCATACAGCATGGGCTGATCGTGGTAAATTCCAGTAACCCTCCCAGATCTAACCAATACAAGTAGTTATCTTAATAATCTTACCAGTTTGTAGGAAGATGGTGCTAAGGTGGGGGATTCCAGCCATTGTGTCAATATCTTTTCAAATTTAGCAGGATATCCCCTGTGTTAGGTTAGGTTAGATAGGTAAGCTTTCTTTCCAGGAGGAAGTTAACCTTGTTCGTCCACTGGGTGAATGAAGGTGGGATGGGCAATGTCCATTTCTGTGCTATCAGTTTACAAGCTACCAAAAGTAGTGAAAATGTGAATATTCTACTGGGACTTTTAATATATTCACAAGTCTAATAGAATAAAATCAATCTCTTTTTAATTAAAGGAGAACTATGGGATTAGGGCTTTTGCCCATAGTTCTCCTAAGGGTAACGGGAGGACACAAACTAGCATCCTCCCGTCACCCTAAGCTCAGTATACCGCGAGCTACAGCTCGTGGTATACTGAGACGCCGCAGCCGCAACGGATCCCGACAATTATGTCTGGATCCACCCAGCTCCGTAAGTGACAGCTGGCTCTTCCTATCTAGAGGCAGAGCCAACTGTACCCGCCCCCTCCCCTGTCCGTTCCGCCAGTCAGCGCTGGAGGATCGGACAGGAGAGGGGGGAATCCAGTCCCTCCCCTGTCACGGCTTTTTGCCATCACAGGATCGAGAAGTGAGCGAGCGCCCGTATTTGTTGGCTCACTTCCCGATCTACTGAGCCGACCTGTGACAGCTTCATTGTCACAGATCGGCTCAGATTATAAGGCTGATGGAAAATCACTCACCTCATAATTCTCCTTTTAAACTGAATTCTCATAAAAAAACAAAACATAAAACCATGCATATAATACATGCCAAAGGGTCAATATACAGACATATATATTTCACCTGTTCATATGTTTATACAGATGATGTATTCATCACTTTGTAAATTCTTGTGTAGGTAATACAGTAGTTACTTTCCTACATGTTTCATTTCAACTGGTTTCAGTGAACAATATCTGCATCAGGAGGAAATGGAGCCTGGCTGATTGGAAAGGAAGCTGGCTCCATGCTCCCTCGGCACTGCCGACCAGAGGGAGATCTCCTTCTGGCTGGAAGGTCCGGTATCAGAGGTAAGTATTGGAGCGTTTGGGTGAGTACTCGTACTCGGCCATATACTCTGTATCGGTACCGATACTAGTATCGGTATTGGTGCATCCCTAAAACAAATCTTCCAAATTCAGTGCCCCACCACTAATATTCCCCCGGGGAGTGCTCTTTCTAGATTCAGTGAACTCATCAAATGAGGTAGACCACAAGTTATAATTAACTAATGGCATATAATATCTGCTACAAACACTCTTATTACTCCTCCACCTCTCCTTAATGGATCACAGTATACTCCATATACATACAAATCAATCTTGGACAATTTTCCTTAGGTGGCTGCTTCTTCTAATATCATCCTATTCAACACTGTGTGCATGGGTCCATATTATACAATATTGGGCATTCGGGTCTGTGTGCTATAGAACTATACAGATCTAAACACATCATTTTTTTTAAACCTGTGTTCATGGGCCCTAAAGAGTCCAAGAGTAAAACAAATAAAGTGACAAGTTCAAGTCTTTCATAAGTAAGCTTGCACAGTTATCATTGTTTGAGACTAAAGACTCAGTTCACAAAGCTATCACATTGGGATAAGTATGCTTATTTTTAAAAAACCATGTTGGTTGTTTTTTTTATTTTCTTTTGTTTTTTTCTTAGTTCAATAAAATGTGAGAATTACAGTCACATGGCTAATTGCCTTAAGCTGGCTGTACACCAGTAGCATTTTTTGCTTTGAAAACTTTCATTTTTAGAACATTTGGTTGATTCTAATGGTTAGTGAAGTTGTCTGAAAAAACTAAATTCTAACCGTGAATGTGATTTCTTTTCAGGAAAAATTGTACAAATTGCAATGTGCGTATGCTAGGAACAAAATAAACGTATTTAATATGTCTTCCATTCAAGGAACAGGTCTGGGTGAAATTTTCAAGGGCTTTCAAATGAAATTAGTTGACTCAATGATGGCAAGATTGAATGCTCTGATGAACGTTTTCGTATGAACATTCAAACAAAGTATGGCTTCTTTAGTCTAGTGTTAAAGCTTTGTGACTTGAGAATGATATGCTTAACTTTATATGTTTCTCCTAAATATTATTAAACCCAAGCTGTCCTTATTTGGTTACAAAGGTGTTTAGACCTCGCCAACTGTAGCTCAGTGCTGGTGTTGGTGGGTGTTGCTTTGCTTATTCAGGAGAGGAGTGACTCAATCTTGTAAACCTGCTAATCCAGAAGTGAGAGTGTGACCCCCTCATATTGCCCACAGCAACTGTTCACACTCAGAAACACAAGTGCAGAGATGTTGCCTATATGATTCCCAAAAGATAACAGGTCTTGGGGGGAGTTAAAAAAGGGAAATACGTCAGTTTTGTGGTGTAAATATTGGCACGTTTTCTTTCAAATTAACAATGTTATATGTCTATATGGAGTTGCACCAGTGCTGTTTATAAAAATATCGGATCATGTGCACCAAAATAATGAAGGACTTGTGCCAATGTTCTAATTTTGAAGCAGTCCTTAAATATACACCATTACCGAGTGGTATAAATACTGTAGTGAGGAGGGGGGACAACGATCATCAGCACTGCAGCTAGGAGAGGAAAGGGGGATGTGTATAGAAGGCCAGCAAGGTGCAGCAATGCAGGAAGGAGAGGGCAAGACAAATTAGAATGATCCCAGTGGAAGATTACCTTAAATTTACCCCAACATTTTGTAAGTGCACTTGGATCTGGCACACCCCCACCATGTGTCAAATCAATGAATTGCCATGCACCAATTTTATTAATTT